GAGCTGATCCGTGCTGGTCGCTGAGGAAATACATCAACTTCGCTCTGTGGACCGCCAGGTCGGCTTTCACCGTGGACGAAGTGGAGTCCAGCCCGGAGTCGTCACATGTGGTTGCCGCAAGCCCTCCAGATGCCCCTTTGTCGAAACTGCCGGCCGTTCCGTTCTCAAGTCCGCCATGTGTGATGCTGTGTGTTTCGTTGTGAAAGTGAAACTACTTTGTTTGGCCTTCCAAAAGAGGACGATATCCGCTTCGTCATGCCTGGAGCTGATCCGTGCTGGTCGCTGAGGAAATACATCAACTTCGCTCTGTGGACCGCCAGGTCGGCTTTCACCGTGGACGAAGTGGAGTCCAGCCCGGAGTCGTCACATGTGGTTGCCGCAAGCCCTCCAGATGCCCCTTTGTCGAATCTGCCGGCCGTTCCGTTCTCAAGTCCGCCATGTGTGATGCTGTGTGTTTCGTTGTGAAAGTGAAACTACTTTGTTTGGCCTTCCAAAAGAGGACACGACTAGAAATCAGTGGTTAAGTTGTATTTACAACACTGTTCCAGAACAGTTCAACCCAAATATTCAGATGTGTGCAGTAGGGGTTGCACAGACTAATCGACTAGTCGACTTCAATGCTTTTTCAATAAAATAGCTTAGAAACTGAAAAGTTCAAGCATATATTTCTTAATAACTAGTAAATTCCACAGCTTCACTACTAGTAGAGAGACGCTGCCAGGTAGAACTAATGCATTCATATTAATGTAATCTTTACTGTGCTACTTCATCTGTATCTGATTTAGAACGAGCAGAAATCTGTGAGAAATATAACGACCCAAAGACAAAAGAACTGATAAAAAAGCTGTTATAGGAGCAAACATGGTTTTATGTTTATGCGGCGCGATGCAACGTGTAAAAAGACAGTATAAGTCATTATAATTCGTAATTATGTCCCCACTGGATGCAACAAATGCCTCATTTATAATGGGTTTTAATGTTTTTGTCTCGTCGCTCCAGCCGGACACAGCATCACAGTATGGTAGGGGTGTAACATTTCCATCACACGCTTGAGGTATTCGGCCAATCACAACGCACTGGTTAGCTTTTCAGACCGATGAGCTTTGTAAAAATCGACACGTTTCAGAAAGGCGGGGCATAGAGGAGAAACATTAATGTGCAGTATGTGGAAAATAATGTGTTTTTTGAACCTTAAACCACATAAACACATTTCATTACACCAAATAATGTTCTTTTTAGCAACATCATATGACCCCTTTAATATAACCTGTGCAACAACTGATGTTGTGCTCTTGCACAAAGATAATTTCATTGTTACTTTATTTTCCTTTTGTTTAGTTTACTTTTAAATGGGTAAAGTGAGTAAATGAGTTGAAATGAATAAAATTAATATTGAATACTCAATTGGAACTGGTAATTGGTTTCAACAAAGGTTAGAACTATGCTGTAAATAATAAGACAGTGGAGTATGAACACTGATTTAACAATCACAAAAATCATCAACAATAATAGACTACTATAAAAAGAAACAAGACAAGTTTTTTCTTTAAAACTAAAGAAATCTTGCTATTGTTTAGCACTTTCTTCATTTTTTTCTCTTAATATTTTTAATTTTAATAAATAAAAATACAAATTTCAGTGTTTGTTAAATGAATAATGACCGACACACACATTCCAGTCCTCTGATCAGCACATGCTAATGACTGTCATTTTATTTTAGCCACAGCAGTATTTGTCACTCCCAGCTGCTCATGCCTGCACTTGAGAACAGTTCTCACACACACACATGCTCAGACACCCCACATACCCCACACACTAACCTGGGGACTAGAGAAAGCCTGGTCACTTTGTTGCTCAGACGAAAGAGAAGGGGAATTTTGATAGGGTGGAAGTTTGTCTTTCTTCTGGGACACTTGATCGAGAAGATTAGGCCCAATGGTGCTGGATATGGGCACTGATAACATGGCAGGAAGCCCTGGACAGGACTCAGATCTGCCAGAGTGTGACTGCGACATTAACAGGCAGGAAAACATTTATCCACTTATCATTTACATATTACAGATTCTCTTGTAATGCAATTTAACTTTAATGCGGTTGTAGTTTCAATGAAATGTGGTATTTTCTGTCATACTTAGACAAGTCTTTGGCGAAGTGTCTGAAATGTATTTTATTAGTTTTTGTGGGTTGAGATGCTTAAGTGAAGCTGTCATTGCTTCACATATGTGATTGCCTAATAATTTTACTGAAAATTTTGGTTGGTTAAATTCTTATATCATGAAAATACTTATAACATGCTGTATTTGTTGACCTTCTGTTGCTGTTGCGGTGGGTTCAGTTTCAGTGTGACTTTGTGCTTTAGGAATGTAGCTTGAAGCACAGTCACACTGAACCGTTCACATACCAGGGTTACATGAGGGCTTTATCTCACCGAAATATGTAGTTTGAGATGCTTAAGTGAAGCTGTCATTGCTTCACATATGTGATTGCCTAATAATTTTACTGAAAATTTTGGTTGGTTAAATTCTTATATCATGAAAATGCTTATGCTGTATTTGTTGACCTTCTGTTGCTGTTGCGGTGGGTTCAGTTTCAGTGTGACTTTGTGCTTTAGGAATGTAGCTTGAAGCACAGTCACACTGAACCGTTCACATACCAGGGTTACATGAGGGCTTTATCTCACCAGGTCAAACAATGTCTGTGTTTTAGCTAACTGCCTAAAGCATACACCAAAGTTTCAATCAAAGTTAGCAGAAGTTGAAATGTGTCCACTCTGCATCTGTGCTCTTTGCTTCACATCCAGTCTGAGATCAGATATTTTTCTGAGATCTAGATCTGGAATGATGGCACAGCTGAAACATGCTATGCTGGTCTGCATGTGAGTGTGTGTTAGTGGCACTGCATTGAGCATGTGATTCTATATTTTTAGGCACATTCAGGATTTCTAGGAAACTCTTGACACCATTGGATTGCATTCTACCTCTGCTTATATTGTTATATATGCAAGACACCTTGACCTTACAGTACATCAGTTAACAAGAGACAAAGTCACTTCATAATTCTACTATTGAAATTGGACAATGTAATGCAAATGCTTTACTTAGATATATATATATGTAAACTATATGTTTATATTTACACTGAAAACATTTAATAGATGCTAGAGAATCATTTTGCTATGCTATTATAAGCAGTATCATTGTTTAAGCATTATTTTTAGCTAATTATGCTGATGAAAGTAGAGATGAACTGATTTTGTATTTTCATGGCAGTTGCGATACTAAATATTTTTCTTTAAATGTCCAGTAACTGATATTCAGAATAAATTTATTGTTGACAAATATAAATGAAGTAAATAATTATTAAACTATTATTATATTAACTTAATATACATTACTATTAATAATGATTTTTTATTTTTATTTTTTATTACAATTTATATCTATAATAATAAACTATCAGAAGTATTTTTGTCTTTGTTTTGAGCTATGTCTATCTTAAAATGCTATGTTATCGAAAGACATCAATAGTATAAAAGTCCTTGTTCACAAATCGATAATTATTCTTGAAAGGCAAATTTCATTCCGATCTCACGTTTCTTTGACTAAACATTAAGATGTTTGCACTGCACAGTCCTGGTTTATATAGCTTAATTACACTTGCAGATTAATTACACTTTTCGCATAATGTGTTGTTAATACAATCTCTGTACTCTGCCTCTGTCTCTCTTGTCTCTGGGATCTGTAGGGTAAAGAAGTTGCGGGAGACACTGGTGGCTGTGCAGCAGCTAGATAAGAACATGAGCAGTTTGCGCTCCTGGCTGGCTCACATTGAGACTGAACTCTCACGACCCATCGTCTATGAAACCTGTGACTCACATGAGATCCAAAGAAAACTCAACCAGCAACAGGTAACCCACACACACACAGAAACGACATGAATTTACATATGGTTACATAAAAGTCTGTCAGTATAGTAAGTCTTAGGAAAGCTCAGTAAACAAGTAATTTTGCACAAACACACAAACATTTCTTAGTATATATTGAAAACTAGTATTAAAAAGTATTTAAATATCTGCAAGTAAAAATAAGAGTTTAAAAGCCCTGGTGAAAAGTCAAAATAAGAACGTGATGACTTCTGGCTCAGTCAATGACCCACTTACTGTTTCAGTAGCACAATGTATCCTCACTTTACCCAGCAACAGCCAGCACATATCAGCCTCTTTCTGCATCAGAGACAAATTATCATTGTAAAGAAGCAATGTTAAGCAAACATTTTTAGAACTGATGATGCAACAAGATGAAACACATTTGTAGAGAAATGCATGACCACAAGCTCCTCTGCCTAATAAACAGAAATGAAATAGAAACAGCCAAGATGATTAAAATGTCAGATGTCGTGAGAAGCTCAGTAGAAGTCTACTATCTCTGTGCAGGATCTGCAGCGCGACATCGAGAAGCACAGCACAGGTGTGGCATCAGTGCTGAACCTGTGTGAGGTGCTGCTGCACGACTGTGACGCCTGTGCCACAGAGACCGAGTGTGAATCCATCCAGCAGGCCACACGCGGCCTCGATCGCCGCTGGAGAAACATCTGTGCTATTGCCATGGAGAGAAGGCTTAAGTGAGTGTGCTGTGTGTGATTCATAAGTAAATTGATGCACTGGAAAATGTACACCTTGGTTTTTGTGTAAAAGTACATTACCGTTTAAAAGTTTGGGGTTCAGTAAGGTTTTTTTAAAAAGAAAATAGTTTTTTCAGCAAGGATACTTTAAGGTGATCAAACATGACAACCGTTTTTAACATTAATAATAGTAAGTCTTTCTTGAGCACCAAATCAGCTTTGCCATCACAGGAATAAATGCAGCTTTGCAGCATAAGAAACTTCTTTGAAAACATTTTTTTTTAAATCCCAAATGTTTGAACAGTATATACTAATGAAGACTGCAGTTCACGAATTGAATTCTGTAAAGGTAAGAAAAATGTATTTGTGAGCTGAAAATGAGCTATTTAGTATAGTTAAAGTTGAATCAGGCCACCAGAGGAACAGGTGTGAGAGCATGTGTCATGCCAGATGACTCAGAGTTGACTTCAGCACATGATGAACTGTTTAACAGCTGTCTTTTTTTAGTAAGCCCCCTAGATGATACTGTAAAATTATATTTCCAAGTAGATATACTGGACTGTACAGTATATGTGTTTGAAATTCACTGTATGCGTTTTTGCAGGATTGAGGAGACATGGAGGTTGTGGCAGAAGTTTCTGGATGATTACTCCCGTTTTGAAGAGTGGCTAAAAGTGTCAGAGAGGACAGCAGCTCTCCCCAACTCCTCTGGAGTGCTGTACACCATCGCTAAAGAGGAGCTCAAGAAGTTTGAGGTACTCCGAGATCCACAGAGAGGGTTAATAAGGTTGAGGTAGTGAGTCAAAAGGATAATTGTGAATAGGGCCTGAATACAAAAAGACAGATAAGTAACAAGAATACTGTTGGGAAAGAAAAAAAAAGCACTGCTGGCATCCAGTGGCGACAGTGCAGTCTACTTTAACCTTTAGTCTTTTGCAATCTGTAAAATGTCATTGATGACTAAAACAAATGCTAAACCATTATTTCTTTTAAATATGCACTTAAAGGTGCAGTAGGAGATCTTGGAAAATGCTAACTTGAGCCTGATCACACTGAAAGCGAAAGTCCCACCCTCCCTGCAATCGCTGTCCAAAGCCACCTTAACGCATTTACGCTCACAGACCAGAATACCAGAGACAACATGGAATTGGGAACCGCTACATCAGCAGTTCCCAATTCCAGCCCATGTTCCGAAGTGAAGTAAACTTCAACGGATTTCCCCCGCTCAGAGAGTAGGGAGCAATGAACACTGTGTAGGGATCATATCGATCGGAGCACAGTTCATGCACGTAGCTCACTTCTAACGAGCTGGCGTAAGGACTGGATTAACCGCTGGGCTACATCATGTGTCATTCACCAGTGAGAAAACTTTAAAAGTACTACAATACCAGGAAGGAAGATCGCCATTCTCGCTCTGTCTGCACAGTGTGCGTAAACGTGCTGATGACGTATCCTGTCTGCGTGAACCCGGTGCGCAGAGGTATGCTAATACATACGTTGACAGGCAGGTAGGAAAGCATATTAAAATGCTCAAACCGAGCGTTTTGATTGGACAAACATTTCTTGATCCAACGCCTTCCACAGAATATATAAATACAGACAAATACATCTAGACCACTTAACTTAATGATTGCTAATGGGATGTGAAGACTTTCAACCAGCATAACAAAAAAAAATTCTGAAGACAATCACCTATTGCACCTTTAACCAATGTGTAGTTTTCAGTTTTTCCAGTTTGTGTGTGAATTTAGGGCCAGTTTTACTAACAGCTTGCGCTAGCGCAAACTGTCTTTTGGCGTTAAAATAGTACTGTCAGGATTTACTAAAGACGCGCAGTGACGAATTAGCGCTGAAAAGGCGTGGACAGTTATTTTTGCCCCTGACCTTATTGAATATGCATTTCTAGGAGTTTCCCTTTCAGACGAAAAATTTATGGGAGGAGAGTATTCAAATGAATTACCCCAACGCGTTTACTAACGTTTGTGCTCATCAAATTACTGGCATTTGCGCAATTATTTAATGCCCAAAAAAAGCATGTCTTAAACTTTTGCGTTTGAAATGGCTGCAATTATTGTTGCTAGGAGTAGGCACCGCAGAGAACAGAGAACGCGTGGTAAGAAGGGAGAGGATTTTTCCACACGTATTAATTTATTTGGAATGAACACATAATCCGAACATATCGTTTGCCAAGCCATGTTATTTTTTATTTGCTTCAGGAAATAAAAGACGACTTGGAACCTTCATCTAGGAGTCACGCAATAGCAGTTCTATCAAAACCTCTTGCAACCCTTCATTTTTTGGCCTCCGTTCTTTTCAACGTGCTGTAGCTTATTTACTTCTTTGTTTATTCGCAACTATGCTAATTTGTGCTGCGCTTGGTATATTGCGTTGGTCGATATGTAAATGTTGCGTTTGTGTTTTTTAATTTGCGTTGTTATTTAATCACCCGCAGACATTTCCACGCCTATTGGCGCTGTTTTGGAATTGCACTCTCGCGCTAATTTGCCCTGTTTAGTAAAACTGGCCCTTAAGATTTTGTTTGCACAATGTAATGGTGTAATTTGAATCACAGGCGTTTCAGAGGCAGGTACAGGAGTGTCTGACCCAGCTGGAGCTAATCAATAAGCAGTATCGAAGGCTGGCACGTGAGAACCGCACAGACTCATCCTGCCATCTACGACAAATGGTGCATGATGGGAACCGACGCTGGGATGTACTACAGAGGAGAGTAAAGTAAACTTCAACGGATTTCCCCCGCTCAGAGAGTAGGGAGCAATGAACACTGTGTAGGGATCATATCGATCGGAGCACAGTTCATGCACGTAGCTCACTTCTAACGAGCTGGCGTAAGGACTGGATTAACCGCTGGGCTACATCATGTGTCATTCACCAGTGAGAAAACTTTAAAAGTACTACAATACCAGGAAGGAAGATCGCCATTCTCGCTCTGTCTGCACAGTGTGCGTAAACGTGCTGATGACGTATCCTGTCTGCGTGAACCCGGTGCGCAGAGGTATGCTAATACATACGTTGACAGGCAGGTAGGAAAGCATATTAAAATGCTCAAACCGAGCGTTTTGATTGGACAAACATTTCTTGATCCAACGCCTTCCACAGAATATATAAATACAGACAAATACATCTAGACCACTTAACTTAATGATTGCTAATGGGATGTGAAGACTTTCAACCAGCATAACAAAAAAAAATTCTGAAGACAATCACCTATTGCACCTTTAACCAATGTGTAGTTTTCAGTTTTTCCAGTTTGTGTGTGAATTTAGGGCCAGTTTTACTAACAGCTTGCGCTAGCGCAAACTGTCTTTTGGCGTTAAAATAGTACTGTCAGGATTTACTAAAGACGCGCAGTGACGAATTAGCGCTGAAAAGGCGTGGACGGTTATTTTTGCCCCTGACCTTATTGAATATGCATTTCTAGGAGTTTCCCTTTCAGACGAAAAATTTATGGGAGGAGAGTATTCAAATGAATTACCCCAACGCGTTTACTAACGTTTGTGCTCATCAAATTACTGGCATTTGCGCAATTATTTAATGCCCAAAAAAAGCATGTCTTAAACTTTTGCGTTTGAAATGGCTGCAATTATTGTTGCTAGGAGTAGGCACCGCAGAGAACAGAGAACGCGTGGTAAGAAGGGAGAGGATTTTTCCACACGTATTAATTTATTTGGAATGAACACATAATCCGAACATATCGTTTGCCAAGCCATGTTATTTTTTATTTGCTTCAGGAAATAAAAGACGACTTGGAACCTTCATCTAGGAGTCACGCAATAGCAGTTCTATCAAAACCTCTTGCAACCCTTCATTTTTTGGCCTCCGTTCTTTTCAACGTGCTGTAGCTTATTTACTTCTTTGTTTATTCGCAACTATGCTAATTTGTGCTGCGCTTGGTATATTGCGTTGGTCGATATGTAAATGTTGCGTTTGTGTTCTTTAATTTGCGTTGTTATTTAATCACCCGCTGACATTTCCACGCCTATTGGCGCTGTTTTGGAATTGCACTCTCGCGCTAATTTGCCCTGTTTAGTAAAACTGGCCCTTAAGATTTTGTTTGCACAATCTAATGGTGTAATTTGAATCACAGGCGTTTCAGAGGCAGGTACAGGAGTGTCTGACCCAGCTGGAGCTAATCAATAAGCAGTATCGAAGGCTGGCACGTGAGAACCGCACAGACTCATCCTGCCATCTACGACAAATGGTGCATGATGGGAACCGACGCTGGGATGTACTACAGAGGAGAGTAGCTGCCATCTTGCGCAGACTCAAGGTGATATATTATCAGTTATATATCATATACACTACCATTCAAGAGTTTGGTGTCATTAAGATTTTTTTTAAAGAAATACATTTAAAAAAAAAACTATTCAGCATGGACACATTAAATGTATTAAGCGACAGTAAAGTCATTGATTATGTTACAAAATATTTCTATTTCAAAGCTGCTCTTTTCAACTTTCTATTCATCCAAGAATCCAGAGAAAAACATAAATTACTGTTTTCTCAAAAATATTAAGCAGCACAAATATTTTCAACTTTGAAATAATAGGAAATTAACTAAAACAGCATATTAGAATGATTTCTGAAGAATCAAGTGACACTGAAGTCTGAAGTAATAACTTACTGTGTATATACTTATATATTCAGAACCTCTGTAAGAATCACTGTTGATGCAGAACCTAAACTACAAAGTAGCATGATTAATTTACTTGTTCTTATTTTGTCCTGCAGCATTTTATTGGTCAGCGAGAGGAGTTTGAAACAGCCCGAGATTGTATTCTGGTATGGCTGACTGAGATGGACCTGCAGCTCACCAACATCGAGCATTTCTCAGAGTGTGACGTTCAGGCCAAGATCAAACAACTAAAGGTAAGGGCTGTGTGAGCATTCATGAATAATTTACTTTTTTTTTTTTAATTAACATGTAAAAGCTATAGCCTTGTGGACAGCACTCCAACATATGGCACAGCAGTGCTTAGGGGAGAATTGAATTTGAGTCCCAGTCCTTATCCATTATTTCCAGTCTGTCCTTATACTGTCCAGTCAAAATAAATGCACGGAAATGCATTTTCTTAAACCAGACAGGCAAATGTTTAAGGATATTTGAGTGTGAATTTGAATATTCATTATAGCCAAAAAAAATTCTGTAGAGTTTTATACATTGACAATTCACTATCATGCATGATATGTATTTTAGACCTAGGAAACGCTCAAGCAGAATTATTTTTACTTGTTCTGTTGAACATTTAATTTTAAATTTTATTCAAAATTACTTGTCAATTTACTTGTGAACACTTGTGCATCACAGGCGTTCCAGCAGGAGATCAGTCTCAACATGGGGAAGATGGAGAGTGTGTTTGGGCAGGGGGAGGTGCTGATGGAGAAGAGTGAGCCTCTGGATGCTGCTGTCATAGAGGAGGAGTTGGATGAGCTGCAAAGATACTGTAGGGAGGTGTTTGGTCGGGTGGAGCGCTACTACCGGAAACTCACACGCCTGCCAGTAAGACACAACCTCAGACATGCATACACTCTTGTTTGTTTCAGCTTTTGCTTTGCCTGTGTAAAGGTGGCTCTCACTTTTATGCTACCTCTCATTTGCAGCTAACCGATGATGAGTGTGAAGGCTCAGATCGTGAATTCGAGTCAGGTGACCTCTCAGACCTTCAGTGGGGTGAGGATGGTACCATGTCCCAGACATCTAGCAGACCATCTTCAGCTGGCACTGCTCCTGTTCGTACAAACGGCTCCGGCCGGGACACCCCTGCCAGTGTAGACTCCATCCCTCTGGAATGGGACCATGACTATGACCTGGACCCCATGGGCCATACCATGTCTGCACAACGGGGCAGACAAAAAGATGAGGATGAGGAGTTACTGTGTTTGGCCACTGCAGCACTTACAGGTGAGTGTGTTTTACCTGAAGGATGTTCATAAGATAATGCTCCACCTGAGTGTCCACCACCCTGAGCAGGTCTTCTCTGTAAACTGTTGGTATGTTATGTTGTATATCTCCTTTTCCACAGATGTAGTGATTCCTGAGAGCCCTGAAGCTTATATAAAATTAACAGAAAACACATTGAGGTCCTCCTCTGGTAGGCAATTTAAAAAAAGTTATGGCATGCTAAATTAATGCTAAACTACACTGCATGCTATCGTGTTGCATGTACTGCACTATTGCATGAATTCTAAAAAATGCATGGCAAAAATTCTGACAGATCTGGTCTATTGCGTTTTCCAACTTTAAAATCTTTTTCAAATCAAACAATACTAATCAGCATTAGATGAGAAATTAATAGAAAAAAAAACTTTTAAAGCACCTATATGAAAATAAACCAAAAGAGAATTTGATGAGAAAAACAAGAGATTCCAAGTGTAGTCCAGTGGAAATAGTTCATGTGAGATTGTTCATTAAAGGGATAGTTCACCCATAAATGAAAATTTGATGTTTATCTGCTTACCCCCAGGGCATCCAAGATGTAGGTGACTTTGTTTCTTCAGTAGAACACAAACGAAGATTTTTAACTCAAACCGTTGCAGTCTGTCAGTCTTATAATAAAAGTGAATAGGAATGACACGTCTTCTTCTTGCTTTACGGCGGATCGCAGACTTATAAGTGCATTACTGCCACCTATCTCTCAAATGGACCATTGACACTCCTAATTGAGATTGTAGATAGTGTCAATGGTCCATTTGAGAGATAGATAGATTAACTAGGTGCTTCTGATCAAAGCCTCTACTGCACTTCAGTAATGCGACTAAAATCTGTCTTAATTCGATTTCTGTTTACTTTGAATATGACTTTAGCCGGATTAAGGTAATCAAAAATCTCTGTTCACATGGTAGATTCTTAATCAGAATATTGTCTTGATCGTGTTAAAATCGGATTAATGTTGTCCATGTAAACGTTCTCACTGTCAATATCAAAATGACTGAGATGATCAATCAAATCAAAGTAGGCGGGGTTTATTGTTCACTGTTCTGTTCACGACATGGCGGCAGCAACAATACTACAGCGAGAATAAAAGTTACGCCTTCTTTCTTTGCGGCGTTATGCAAATCTTCCCACATCGTGAGGTAGACATGTGGGGCGTGTTAGAACGAGCCGTTTTAGGTAGGCGTGGTTGACTCTTAACTTTTATAAAGAATATCTCTTTGGATTTGAGACTTTAATCTTTGCAACTTTACAGATCTTCTTTATGCACCAAGAGCTTGTAACACTCCAAAGAGAAAGGAAAAATTGAAATCGCATCATATGACCCCTTTAAAGTCCGCGTGAACCGGAAGTTGCTGCCCACTTTATTTCAGTGAAGTGACGTATTTCCATCTGAAACGGAAGGAGAGGGCGTGGTTTTATTTTAGCGCTCCTCTTCTCATCTCTCACTCATAGCAAACTAATGGTTGGAGGGGTGTGTTTAAGTATATTCTGCCCAAGCCGTCAAACTGACATCATCAGAGAAGGAATGCCATTCCAGAGCGGAAGTAAATGATCAGATTTTGATTAAAGATTACCAAGACAAAACATTTTTTTCAGCAGATTAACTTGCACGGATTAATTGTTCACACCAAGACTAGCAATGTGCACTAGTAAAGTAAATAAAGTCAATTTTGGTTTCATGAGGACTTTAAAGTGTGTGAATTAACTTGCGCTAGTCTACGGATGCTCTCGTGACCGCTGCACATACTAGGTGCTTCTGATCAAAGCCTCAGCGGGGTCTAACTGTTTACATGTCTATACTGCACTTCAGTAATGCGACGAAAATAGGAATACTCCACATGTCTTAATTCGATTTCTGTTTACTTCGAATATGACTTTAGAAATCTCTGTTCACATGGTAGATTCTTAATCAGAATATTGTCTTAATCGTGTTAAAATCGGATTAATGTTGTCCATGTAAACGTTCTCACTGTCAATGTCAAAATGACTGAGATGATCAATCAAATCAAAGTAGGCGGGGTTTACCGTTCACAGAAGCAGAGCGCAAAGCGTCAGTTTAACATTGAAAGAGCAAGGTAAGATGAAGCTGCAAATGAATTAATGTTAGTCAACTGTTTTACGACAGAAATGTTAAATGACCGACAGTTATATCCTACGGAAGTTCTAAGCGGCCATGCATTATTTATTTTTTCCTTCTTGTTTTCTTGTTATAACGACTTATTTTCTCGTTATATCGACATAACGAGAGTTGTTTTCTCGTTATAACGACTTATTTTCTCGTTATATCGACATAACGAGAGTTGTTTTCTCGTTATAACGACTTAATTTTCTCGTGATCTCGACAAAGTTTTTAAAAAATTTTTACAATGATTGTTTGATCTACTGTTGTTATAGTAACGAACTCAACTTTGACACGCATCTGATGGACAGATAAACCATGCCTTACATGGGCTATGTGAGTACAGATTCAGTGTGGCGCTCAGTCAGTTTAGTTTGTAGTGGCGGTAAGTTTGATTAGCTTCTTTGCTCTGCACAGATGAGGCTAATGGATGATTGCCGTGGCAGTCTGAAAGCGGTCAGGAGGGTTGAGGGGGAGCTGGAGGAGGAAGAGGACAACCTGTCAGGCCTGAGTAACCCTGATAACACAGAGACACAGAGCACAGGTTAGTCCAGCACGGAAAGCTGCAACTGCTGAGTAACGTGTATATTTGAATTTGATGCTATTATGGTAATTGTCATATTTCAGGTGTCATTGAGCGTTGGGAGCTGATCCAGGCCCAGTCTGCTGATTCAGATCACAAAGAGAGAGAAGACCTGGTGCTATTGCAAAAGATGACCTCTGACCTGGACACCATGGAGGCGTGGCTCAGCCAGGCCGAGGCGGAGTTAGAAGAACTGAGAGGGAAAAATCTTAGTGCAGATATACACACTATTGAGCAGAGAATTAGAAAACTCAAGGTTTGTGTTGCCTACTTGGTTCACAGTAACACATTTGTGCATGTGAATTTGTGTTTGTGTATATTTGCTGAGTGATTTAGTGTTTCTCTTTTAATGCTGTTGATGGACTGCACAACTGGCCATAGCTTTTGAAAATCATCACAAATGAGATTTAGAGCTGTTTTGTTTGTAGTCCTAAAACCCAGAATAGAATTAAAATATTTGAACCATTTCAACATAACCAGCAACATTATTGTCACATGACCTTGTTATACATCTAATCAGGCTGTTTACTCATGAACCAACTCAAAGGCTATTTTGCTATGGATTCCCTCTGGAATAGCTAATGGGTTAAATAAAAAAGCAGTTTTCAATTTATGGGTAAGGTCTGTGGTTAACACTACTCACAGGGACTTTCCTGTTCTACAACATAAAGAACTGCTATTGAAAGCCCATTAGAAATACCAATAGGACCCATGGTGAATTAGCCTAACTCATTGGCATACAGTCAAACTTTTCAAAATTTCTATCGAGTCAATGTGCTCATGTTACCTGAAATCCCCAAAAACGTATTGAAAATTACATTGCTTCTGTTTGCTTTATTGCTAAAAGTACAAATGTACTATTTCATATTACTGTAAATATAATAGTTAACTCTGCCCAAGCTGTAAACAGATACATTTGGTACTGGCAGCTCCATGTGTGGGTTGCTCGCATGTCTACACTGTAAAACAAGTCTTGCTCACACACACACACACACACTGGCATTTCAAATCAGGCAGGATGTCGGCAACAGAAATAAACCAGAGGAAATCCACAGCATCCCGCTGACCCACATACAGAGAATCTGAGAGCATCTGATTTCACCAGTTATTTTTACTTGCACACAAACTAAAACACATGTGTATATAGTCCAAATCCTGCAAGTGAATCTTCCCTTTAGAGCAATTTAACAGAGAGATTAATCAAAATGAGATTTGAACCTAACTACACATCATTTCTTGGTAACACAATGCAGTCTCTAAAACCAACACACAAATTTCTAACAAAAGCTTTGCTCTTGTGTCTCAACAGGAGTTACAGAAGGCAATGGATTCCCATAAATCCAAATTACTGTCCATCAACTTAAATAGTGTCACACTACTCCAGTCAGACTCTGAGGAGAGCCAGGATCTCAAAGCGAAACTGAAGGAGATGAACTCACGCTGGGATCGACTGGGAAAATCACTTAAGGATTGGAGAACAGCACTTCAGGATGCTCTGATGCAGTGTCAGGTACATACACAGACAGCACCTACATCTACACTACTGTTCAAAAATTTGGAAGAAGTTTTTCTTTTTTTTGGACAGTTAATACTTTTATTCTGCAAGGATGCATTGTATTGATCAAAAGTGACAGTAAAGACATCTGTAATGTTACAACAAACATCTATTTCAAATAAATGCTGTTTTTTAAACGTTATATTCATTAAAGAATCCTGGAATAAAGTATAAATGTTTCCAGAAAAGTAGTAAGCAGCAAAACAGTTTTCAGCATTGATGATAACAAGAAATGTCTTGAGCACCAAATCAGCATATTAGAAAGATTTCAAAGGATCATGTGACCTGAAGACTTGAGTAATGGCTGCTGAAAATTCAGCTTTGCCATCACAGGAGTAAATTCCCTTTTACAATATATTCTAATAGAAAACCGTTATTTTAAATTGTAATAATGTTTAAAATATTTTTATCAAGTAAATACTTGAGACTTCTTTAAAAAAAACATGAAAAAAAAATCTTACCAATTCCAAACTTTTGAATGGTATTGTAATTAAATTAAACGCACAGAGGCAGATACTGTCATTCTCTCACAAATTTTGCTTTTCTACAGGAGTTTCATGAGCTGAGTCATGGTCTTCTTCTCTGGCTGGAAAACATCGACCGTCGGAGAAATGAGATTATCCCAATTGCATCAGGGCTAGATCGGCATACACTTCAAGCTCATTACAGAGCACTAAAGGTACCTGTGAAGTCACTGCTTTTTGGTATGGAAGGATATGGCTTGAATACATATTTTGCCTCCTGCTTAACCTACACTGTATGCAGAATAAGAGATGAAGAATAGAGCAACCAGCATCATTGTAAGTTGAAAACAGTATGTAAAAAGGTGTCTGGATGGGAAAATTTGTCTTAATTGGAGTCAAGGCACCTAGAAGAGTGCACACTTGCTTTTTTTGCCATATACTGTACTTTAACCCAGCATTCCATTAAGGAAATTTGAGTTCATCCATTGTCAAAATGTTATTAAAATCTCCAAATGTGGCAAAAATGTATTCGAAACACAAATGTTTCATTTTACCAAGCGAAACTACATTGACACACATTTGTCTGCAGCAAATCCAGCGGGAGCTGTTGGAGACTGAGCAGAAGGTGGACAGTCTGCAGGAGCTCTCAGGACAGCTGCTGGTGCAGGCACATGGCAGCGAGTGTCTGGAGGCCCAGGAGAGAGTGCACGTCATCGGGAACCGTCTGCGCCTGCTCCTGAAAGCTGTGGCCACCGACCTGGAACTGCTAGAAAAAGAGCTCCAGGCTTCTGGGAACAGACAGGTTAGTCTACAAGCACATTCATTAGTTATTAATCTTTTTACCGACCATTTGTTCGGTTTTAACAGCTAAAAAAAAGCAACATTAGACACTGTCCATAATATCCATTCATCTCAAAGCTAAATCTCAGATCTTCACAGGACGCGTCCCTCTGGTCCGTTACGGATGACGCAGATACTTCTGGATCGGTCAGTCCTGTTTCAGAGGTCAGCATTTCCACTAGACGACAATCGGTAATGCATCCCCTCTTCCTTTTTTGATATTGTTTCGGGCATGCCGTGAAGGTCACTGTCCTGCTAAATTGAGGCGGTTGAGCTTATAACAGGGGAATATTTTGTGACATGTTGGTTCCAGTTTAATATACCTCACTGACAAAATCCCCTGGAATATTTGCTCACTTCCTCATCCCCCTTTAAATATGTTACTTTGGACGTTTATTTCTGGAAGTACTTTACTTCTTATGAAATTTATACAAGAAACACTGGCTTTGCTTTTCAGACATGCTTTAAATCAAATGGATCCATGCTAAATTTGAGTGGATTTGTTTGAAGGTGTCTGTGTGGAAAGCCAGGTTTCTTGCACCTTGCAAGATTTTTTTTGTCATTGCCACCTATTTTGCTGCTGCCTTTTGTTTTGTTGTTACTGGTTTGTGATTATACTGATGGCCTGGCTATAGGTCTCTGCTTGTCACCACAAGCTTTGTCTTTATTTGCTGGACTGAAACATTCTTTCTTTCTTTTACCCCTCCCTTCCTTTCGCTCATTGCACAACAGCTACGAGGCAAATGTAGTGTGTCAGAACCAGGATCCTCAGCCAGACTTCCACGTCACAGGTACCTGTCTCTCGCGCTTTAAAATGCAGGGGGGGATGATGGAACTCATTCCAGATCCATACCATCAGAAGCATTCAGATCAGAGGCCAGAGCCTCTGAGGTGGGAGTCCACACGAGTTGTTCAGTTCTAGGAAATGAATTTGTTTTGGATCCCAGTCAAGGATTCTTAGTAATCTTATGTGTTATTTTCCCCAAGAACATAATATTGAGTCTGACAATGTAACTTTGTGTCCTTTGAAGTGAACTATGTTCAAAATCTTTCTCCATTCTTGATGCCATGTGAAAATACTGAAATGTATTCGTCATTTTCCAGACCATGTCATTTTTGGTTGCTTTCATTGTTTGATTTTGTTGTGCAAACAATTCATTGTGATGCTCTCACACTCATCTCTGCCTTACAGCAAAAATACAGAAAAGCAGCCATATTGTGTAAAACTTTCTAATACCTTTCATTAACAACATTAACAAGCATAACATGTATGTAATGCTTAACAGAGTATTTTTCAGTTTATATTAAATAGATAGAAAGGCTGTGAAACTTCATATATTCATATTTAGATGCACATGAACTGCTGATTTGTTAAGCATTATATCATGTTTGTTGTGACTTCTTAATGAAATATATTATGAAGTATTATGGAACTGTCTTTGATGGAAGTGAAATCTGTCCAAAAACAAAATATTTAATGTGTGCAGTTTGTCCATAAAACATGGACATCTGTCAGTGAGTGACTAATTGTATCAATATATGCAAATATCAAAACGATTTGCTTTAAGATGGACGGGAATTGAGTTGTCAGTGCAAGTGTCCTTGGGTTGAGAAAAGTCCTATACTATATTATATTATATATTTTGGATTACGATTTACTTTTATATTTTAGTTGATATTTTTATTGTCTATTATTTCTATATAGCTTAAATTTTTATTTCAGATTTAACTTTAGTTATTTTAGTACATTAACTTACTTATTTTAGTTAGTTGCTAAAGCAACATTTCTAATTTTCTTACTTTTATTTCACAACAACAGTTTTGAATAGTTTTAGTTGTAGTTTAAGTTAACGATAACCACGCTGATTTAAAAGGATACTTTTTAAAAACGAATCACCCTCGCATGAACTGAATAGTAGAAGTGCTGTGCTACTCACAACATTTCTGTGTGTCATTATAATCTATCCGTACATTCTGATGTATTATTATGATGTTTTGTAGGTTGCCCAGCGCTTCTGGCTGCGTTTCGTCTCGCTCTGGTTCCTCCGGTTCACAAGGTGGCGCTGCTGTGGCTCGCTGCCAGCCCTTTCTGCTGCGAGTGCTCCGGGTGGCTCTGCCACTGCAGCTCCTACTGCTGCTCATAGTGGGCCTGACCTGTCTGGTGCCCATGACTGAGCAGGATTACAGTTGTGCAAACGCGAACAATTTTGCCCGGTCTTTTCATCCCATGCTCCGCTACACCAACGGCCCACCGCCTGTATGAGCGGAGGAGACTTTACTAATGCATTCATCTGCTTCATATTACACTGCAGGACACAGAATGGACTAGTGTTAGCCAAAGCGGATTGTTCCTGTTCCTGTACAGTTCATGCTGCTAATTTCATTTTTCACTAAACAGTGTACTATTGAACTCATTGCAATGTAGACTAGTGTTGGACAGCAAAACTGGTTAACCGTTTCTGTCCCAAGGAAACTGAAGAAAAACTATGAAATCGTATATAATTATGTACTTAATAGCACTGACATAAGCATAAGGTACTGCACTTATACCGTCCAAGAATATTGCCAAAATGATTTGCTTAGGCTGAGGAAAGTGTTTTATTTTTATTTTTGTATTATTTAAAATTGTAGAAAAAAGTTATTTTGAATATTATTTAAATAAGATTTTGCATGGCGATTCAAATTGTATTTTTATTTTATGGCATGGAGTTACGTTTTTTTTTTTTTTTGTTCAGAAATGTAAAACAGTCACCGATGTAGCTCTATGAGAGATGCGTGCTTTTTATTACAGTTATCTACTTACTGTATCTTAATTTGTGTGTTATGACAATGACAGTGTGACAAAAACATTATGATTACAATGTCTATGCCTATTTATGTATGTACAGTTTGCTAATGCTGACAATAAAGACACATCTTTTCATTTAATATATATATAAATTCTGCTAGTCTGCCCATTATGTTAAGTTAAAAGTATAATTTTAAAGTGACTTTTTTTTTTTTTTTACTTTTTCCTTTATAATTAATTCAGCCAAATTAACATTTTCACATTCAGGTCCTTCAAAATTAAAACATACTGTACAAATCATAACATTCAAGTATCAAATGTAATAGCTGATAAATGTAATGTACTAGTCTACTGGACTATGAGCATACACATTCACAGATTTGAGGAAAAATATGGCAATCTAGTGTAAAGCAGTCAGTGTCAGTTCCTGCATTGAATGCGTACCAGTGATTATAGGCCGTTATTCATATCAAGCCGTCACAATGCTTCTAAAAATCAGCATTTACATGTCAATTAACATGGGCATAAAACCAATTACAGCACTTTAACACAGCAAAAATAGGATGTAACATTTTTGTCATAATAACCAACCAATAAGCAAACATCTTTGGACAAAAAGATGCCACTAATGTCACCACTAATCACTGAGCAGTTCCCCCCATGTGAGTTAAAATTACTTCTTTAACATATTAAAAATAGAGCAGTGATTTTTATTGATAAATACATCTCTGATTGCGAGAGTATATCACATCATTTTATTTTTTTCTTGTTTTTTTTCCAAGAGTAACTTTTCTCCTGTTTTCAGTTTGTTTTATATTAAGTATTTTCTATTCAGTTTTTTATATTAAGCGCTGCTTGTAATTATACATACTTATTGTTATTGCTATAATGCATATAATAATAGTAACATGAAAAATGTGTAACACGGATGCTGCAATATGAAGTTCTTCGGTTCTTCTACATTTAAGGTAACATACCCCTACAGTAACTTAATAATCCTTGGTAACTAAAGCTTAAACTTTAGCTACCAAGGATTATTAAGTTACTGTACTAAAAACAGGTGACGTTATATTGACATTTCACTGTCAAATCTGTGCTGTCAGTCAGAAATGCTACTTTATGATGTACAGTACTTCACAAGCCACCTGCTCTTGATTGTTTTTTTCTTTTCCTTTTTAATTTTTTGGTTTGTTTGTTTAGCTTAAGTAAGTTTGTGATGTCATAGCTGTCGCTCCATTGGTCATTAAAAGAAAAGAAGAAGAATAATTAGCAGCTTCTACATAAATCTGTCTCTCAGCGTGCCACAAAAGCCCTTTTTTTTCTTCTTTTTTTTTTTTTTTTTTTAACAAGTATGACACTTTTTCAAAATGTCTTTCAAAACTAATGAATCAAGTGACCACAGATGTATAGTGTTTGGGAGCCTTGTTCTTAACCTGTCCATTTCAACAGATATGTTTTTACATTTTTCTAGATGGGTCTTTCAGAATCTAAAGTGGACTTTGATAAGGCACAAGGAGAGACAGCACTGACTGCTTCAGTCTTCACATTCTTCAGTTTTTGGATTGTACACAGCTCAGGGGTCTGGACTCTGGTTGTGAAAGGCAGTGTTGGGCAGCATGGCTCTAGGACCTCTGGAGAGGCTGCTGCTGCTGGTTGTGAGTGTAGATGGGGGGTCTTTCTCACTCTGTGCCCACAGTCGCTGCACCTTTCCTGAAGAATGGAATCGCTGAGCGTCTAGCATCTCCAACAAAAGGTCATACAGCGGGACTCGATTCTTACATTTCATTCGGTATAAGTGCTCCATTCCTCTGTTGCTTTCAAAAAAAAGAAAGCAGATATAATGTGCATAACTGTAATATAAGCAGTCTTTTTGTTTTGAATGGTAGTGTGTATGAAATGATGTTTGTGTTAATCATCTTATTTGCTCTTTACCTCATGTGTCTGATGTTTGAGAGCAGCAGCAGGAGCTGGGCCTGACGGCGGGACTGCAGCTGCAGCGAGGCACACGATTTACTGATGCAGTAAATGAGGGCATCAGTGATGTTGTCCAGCATGCACTGCACCATGAAGCTGTCCCTCAAGGGCTCCACTGGACTGGAGCAGAATGAAAATGCACCTGACCAGACAGAAAAGATAAGCAATAACCATTAAAGCGTTTATTATATTAACTGACACCTAAGACATGTTTAGGGTTGTTACACCTAGGTCATGTTAAAGACACTTCTAATGATACGAAAGATTTCTATTTCAAATAAATGCTGTTTTGTTTTTTTACACTTCCATCAAAGAATCCTGGATCAAATTTTCCACAAAAATATTTACTATGTATACAGAAAATGTATTTTAAATTGTAATAATATTTCACAATATTACTGTTTTTACTGTATTTTTGATCAAATAAATGCAGCCTTGCTGAGCATAAGAGACTTCCTTCAAAAACATTTTTAAAAAATCATACAGACCCCAAGCTTTTGAACAGAAGTGTAATTCTGAAGTGGTTTATTTTGTGGTAAATACTGTCTAATTGTTCATTAAATGTTTTAATTACATACAACAAAAAGCTAAAAAATGAAATACCTTTTTGTGTGTTTTTTACAGTGTATTCTACTGGCTTAGCATAGCTCTGCTAAGTTTTTGATCACATATTGAAGGTTGATCCTACATGACTGACCAGTCAGAATCAAATAATAATAATAATCTTTATTTTTCTATAGCGCCTTTAAATGTTACTTCTCAAACCGCTTAACATAACAAATAAAACATCAAAATACACCATATAAGAATGTATAAAAATAAGCAAAAAACACATTTAAACCACATTATATAAAAATGTAAGTAATAGCTACACTAAAGAAATAAGTTTTAAGGCGAGATTTTAAAATGTTAAGAGAATTTGCCTGCCTTATTTCAGTAGGAAGAGAATTCCATAGTTTTGGAGCTAGAGAAGAAAAAGCCTTATTCCCCATCGATCTTAGGCGGGTAGACGGAACAATTAACAATCCAGTATCAGAAGAACGATTGGGGTATATGGAGTTAAAAGCTCTGACAGATATTGCGGTGTCAAACCAAGCAGAGCCTTGTAAGTGAGCATCAGAAACTTAAAATCAACCCTAAACCTAACAGGAAGCCAATGCAAAGACTCCAAGATAGGAGTGACATGATCTCTTATCCTTGTTTTAGATAGGATTCTGGCAGCAGAGTTTTGCATGACCTGTAATTTGTTTTGGGTAGCTTTTGATACCCCGGCCAACAGAGCATTGCAATAGTCAATTCAAGAGAAAACAAAGGTGTTAATCAACTTCTCAGCAACAGGGAAAGACAACATTGGACGTAATCTGGCGATATTTCTAAGATGAAAGAAAGATGTTTAAACAGTATTCAGAACATGAGGCCATGTGTAATGGAATTAATTATTCCAGGGAGCATTTAATAATATAATATATGCCACTGGAAGCTCCAAAGTGTATTTTATTTCCAAAGTACCCAAATCGCCAAGTTCATTCACTCTCTGTGACTTGCAGACTCACCAGAATTGAGAAGTATGATGGCTTTGAGACATACGAATTCCTCCAGCTTGAGTTTGAGACTACGGAAGCGAGCCACAGTTGCCAAGAGCATGTCGAAAATCTCAGCCATCCCCTCGACACATTCTCCTTCACTCCTGTAAAGAGGTAGACCTGCACTTTATCCGTGCTGGGAGATTGTTTGTACCATTTACTGTGACATGTGCCTTAAAACAGCTCTGTTTCCCCCCCACCTCCTCTAGTGACGCTGTAAACATTGCATATGCTGTTTACTGTTTACTTAAAGACTGGACCTCTAATGGACTCTGTAAACTCTCATTTGTCTTTCATCAGTTCTTATCCTATCTTAGCAGTGTCCTTGCTTTGTCTGATTCAGCCATATTATCTTTTCAGTCCCATCCAAATTTTTACTCACTCTTTCTCCTTCGTCCTCCAGGATGCTTTATTAAACCACCAAGCTCACGACTCTTTACTTTTTACAGATGCTGGTTTTGATTAGATTCGTATTGCCTTTAGTCAGTGATGACGCTGTTCTTCAGAAGCCCTTTAAAGAGCCTGTTCCCAACCGGGTCCTAATTACTATCTACTTGTGACATGGTCTTCTGAAGAGGAGCACTAGGCACTCAGATAAACAGTTCACATCCTTTTTAACAATCTAGTTTTCGTTTCATAATCATTCAATCTCATTTTATTAGGCCCGGCCCTCTGCTGGGCCAGATCCCGTCTGCAAGGGGACAAAACCACATGCAACTCAATGTTCTTTATGAAATTGAGGCAAAAAATAAGCACATGCAGAGGTAATGCATCAGGTCAGTATGACATCTCGAAAAGCCCACAATCACCCTCACAGCATCAGTATCAAGTAAGATTGCCTGAGACTAAAATAAAGTCGGGAGTTTCATTAAAGTATAACAGGTGTCCCCGCAGGTTTCTGTCACGGCATGTTAGTGCTTTTCCATTATTCCTAACAGTCAAGCGAGGCTAAATGTAATCAAAACAATTTAATGTGTTAAATTGTGTCATTAAATTGGATTCGAGTTTTATTATAGCCTCACTAAACGAGTTGTTCCAATATGGATGTATACCAAAAAAGTGGAAATACTTATTTTACAGTGGCCTACAAGAGGAGGTGCCGAACATCCAGTACCTATCCAGGATGAGATCCTGAGCAAAGATGAGTTTTCCAGGTGAATGAATAGACCTCCATATGAGGCCGATCATCAACACCTCCAGCCAAGAGCTCTCCAACAACTGAACCTGATCGTGCAGAGAGAGATCCTGGAAGCCTGGAGAGAACAGAGACCTCATGCTTCATACACTACTGTTCACTAATTTGGGGTCAGTCAAATTTTGTCTTTAGAAGAAATTATTACATTTAGTCAGCAAGGATGCATTAAAGTGCTCAGAAGTGACAGTAAAGGCATTTATAATGTTAATTTTAATTAAAGGGTAATAAGAAATGTTCTTGAGCATCAAATCAGCATTTGGAATAATTTCTGAATGATCGTGTGACATTGAAGACTGGAGTAAAGGCTTTAAGTAGAGTTAACAGTTATTTTAAGTTAACTGTAATATTTCACAAAATTACTGTTCTTACTGTAGTCCAATCAAATAAATGCAGCCATCATAAGAGACTTTGAAAAACATTTTTCTTTAAATCCAACAGCCCCAAGTTTTTAAATAGTAGGGTATGTTGTGTAGCAAGAACAATAACACGGTAAAATAGACTTTTACTTTTTCTGAATAAAATAACAGTGGCGCATCTGCAAAATGATTCTGTGTTCTGGCCAGCTGTTCTGTGGTTATTGCTGCTGTAATAGGGGTGGTTGCTAGGCAGTCACTTAATTGGCTCTATGACATTCTGGTCCCTAGATATGGTTTAGGACACTCAAGATTTTTCACCTATCATCACTTTGGAAAGTAACAGCATACCTCTTCTCATCAAGCTGCATGATTTGAGGTATCATTCAAGTCTGTAGCACAAGGATGGGTTGCAAATCACATTTAATACTAGTACTATTAGTAAAATGATTCACCACTTCAGCATATTTCATGCCTATAATTGAAATGATCTTCCTCTATGATGTATAAGAGGGTTAGAAGAGTGATGATTACCACCTTCCAGTAAATAATTATGGAACCTGAAATTTTTAGGGGTGTAACCCACATATAACAACATTTAAGTTTTATCCACTGTATCTCATGAGTTAAATTGTTTCCTTCTCCGTGGAGGGTTAACTAAGACATCTGAACATCAGATATTGTATAATGGCTCCCTTAAAACTCCCAGCAGGTCTTTTAATGTGTGCAAACTCAGCTGGAGGCCAAATCAAGCTGAGGCGCAGCACAGATCATTGTAATAACACCTATCTTCTTTACCTTCGCGCCTGTGACCTTGTCGTCATTTGAATCTCTGCCACCTGTGCTGACAAAACCTGCTGCCATGGTTACAAGAACTGGCAAGGCTGTCACCAGGGATTCTGTTCCTAGAAGTGCTTCCTTCTGATTTAAAACCCCCTTCCTTGATGTTGCACTCTCAGTTAAAGCAACTTTAATTGATCTTTGAAAGGGTTTTACCTGGGACTTTCTTAGCCCAGGCGATCATGTGGACGAGTTCTTTGTCAGCCATGTTTGTGAGCAGGGACATCATGGTGATCTCGGTGTATGGGCGGCTGTGTTTCTGTCGTGAGCAGACGGCCGGCGGCTCTGCCCCCAGAAGCAACACCAGCAGCTGGTCAGGAGGCATGCATAAAGCGCTGACCACACCACCGCTGCTCTTCCTCCTGTCCTGCAGAGGAGCTGTTCTCAGACCGGTGCAGCTAGACTGCTCACTGTAGCTCTTGACACGATCTTCATTACCGCTCCTCCTCCTATCACGCCTGATAGCGCGGCCTCCGCGGTCCTTACGATTACCTGCAATGGAAAACATGTAGGTTATTATTAATTTTACTATATCCTATTTTCAAACTATTTGACAACAGAGACAAATTAAAGACTGCAGTACATGTGAACACCCTAGTATATTTAAAATATATTTTATTTCATATTAAGTATAGATCAAATCTATTAACATATTTACTGACAAATCACTTGAGACTTACGGATTAAAAATTATAATTACATTTTATTTGGGAGTACTACTTGTGCACAATGCATATTTCTTAATATTAAGCCTAAAATGTGTTTTAATGTCACTATTGATGAGGATTGTATGATCTTCAGTATATCTTTAGTTGGACTTCAGCACTACTTTCACACAAGTAACCCTCTGGTATTGGTCATTTGGGAGTCACACTTGTGTTGTTGGCCGGTCAAAACAGACCATAATCGTGTACTCATTTTATTTCATTTCAATAATGTTTTTTTCTTTAATATTTTGCATTTTGATTGCATTTCATGTTACTAATTAATATTAATATCTAAATTATGGACTATTTTCTGTATAAAATGTAAAACAAATTATTAAAAAATATGTACATAATTTTTTAATTTATGCAATATTTAAGTTAAAAATAGAGCAAAAGTATTTAAAATGCATTGAATTGAGGCAGATTTGTTCCACCTTGTGGAAAAAAAATGAAAATCACCTGTAATACCACCTGTTATAGCCATATAGTGCTGTGTATTCCTTATTTACTGAGCAGTGTTTTCAGGCACAATTTTGTCACTCCTTCATTGCTGTGCTCTTTTTTTCTGCATTGTGGCTGATTTGTAGATTGTACACACAAAAACATCTTTGTATTTTCATATTTTTCCCATTCATTTCCTATGGCGGTAATTTTTGAACGCGAAAAACACAAGTGTGACTATTATTATAATGACCATTTAGCTTTTTGCGAATCAAGGGGGGGTGGGGGCTCACATAGCGACTGCCATAAAAGTCACAAAGTTTCGTACCATTCCAATGAATAGTGATTTTTACAATTTTCTAACTTTTTTTTTCAACACCAGAGGGTTAAGTGCATCAAGTACAAAATTAGTTGTTCCAATTTAGCAGACTTAAAGTATAGCCTACCAGTTTGAATTAGTCAGATTCAAACCAGTCAGATTTTTTAAGTATTTGTTTTCAGTGTGAATTATTTCCATATTTCAAACTATGTTTGATTTTTCTTCTTTGTTTTTCAGTGTGAATTATCCCTAAACAATTAACATGGAAAAGTATACTTTAAATTTCAAGTTTATTTATCATATGTACAATGTCAGTGACAATTTGCACATTGAAATACTTAGGTTGAGGCTCAGGCATTTTACATTAGTGCAATATAATAATAAAAAAAAAGTGTAGTATGTTTTTAAAGTGCATATGCTCTTTGTAAAGGAAAATAATCATCATGAGGTATACGTGTAGTGTATACATATTTGTGAGTGTGAGTGAGCATTACAGAGTGTTTAGAGTTCTGATGGCCTGTAGGTAGAAGCAAATTACAAAATTGTATTTAATATTTTGCATAATTATAAATAGTAAAATATATAACACATAATTTAATATGTTAAATATAAATTAAATGTTTATTTAATTTCTATCTCTTTCTCTCACATACACACACACACACACACACACATATGACCCCTTTAAGAAATTAAAGGGGTCATATGATGCTATTTCAATTTTTCCTTTCTCTTTGAAGTGTTACAAGCTCTTGGTGCATAAAGAAGATCTGTAAAGTTGCAAAGACTAAAGTCTCAAATCCAAAGAGATATTCTTTATAAAAGTTAAGAGTCAGCCACGCCTACCTAAAACGGCTCGTTCTAACACTCCCCCACATATCTACCGCACTATGTGGGAAGATTTGCATAACACCACCCAAATGTTCACGCAAAGAAAGAAGGCGTAACTTTTATTCTCGCTGTAGTATTGTTGTTGCCGCCACCATGTCGTGAAGGCGCTGTGTGATTTGTTGTGAAAGCGAAACTACTTTGTTTGGCCTTCCAAAAGAGGACGATATGGCTTTGTCATGCCTGGAGCTGATCCGTGCTGGTTGCTGAGGAAATACTGCAACTTTGCGGTTTGCACTGTGGATTGCCGGATCGGCTTTCACCGTAGACGAAGCGGAGTCCAGCCCGGGATCGTCACGTGTGGTTGCCGCAAGCCCTCCAGACGCTCCTTCGTCAAATCCGCCACCTCTGCTCACTCAGCCTGCCGGCCGTTCCTCACTTTTATTTCCGTCTCATGCTTGAGATATTCTGCCAATCACAACGTACTGGATAGCTGGCCAATCACAACACACCTCGCTTTTTCAGACCGATGAGCTTTGTAAAAATCGACGTGTTTCAGAAAGGCGGGGCATAGAGGAGGAACAATAATGTACAGAATGTGGAAAATAATGTGTTTTTTTTTACCTTAAACCGCATAAACACATTTCATTACACCAAATACACAAAATAATGTTCTTTTTAGCAGCATCATATGACCCCTTTAACAAACATTAACCAAGATGGAAAAGGTTTTATAAATAAAATAGTATATAATAAGTACATAAAGTAACCATTCACTTTTGTGGCCAATTCCAATTCTATTCAAATGTACACATATTTATTGTAAGGGAGTCCATTATTAAATTCAGAATGTTACCCAACCCTAGACAGAAGTAGGGGAAACTCTACTCTAGATGCTGCATTAAATGTGGGAGATCATGACAGATACATAAATTATGCATCTCAATAAATTAGAATGTCGTGGAAAAGTTCATTTATTTCAGTAATTCAACTCAAATTGTGAAACTCGTGTATTAAATAAATTCAATGCACACAGAATGAAGTAGTTTAAGTCTTTGGTTCTTTTAATTGTGATGATTTTGGCTCACATTTAACAAAAACCCACCAATTCACTAGATACATAAAGAGAGAGAAAGGAAGAGAAATCTTTTATGTACCTCCTTTCATCATGCCTACTTCATAACACTTGCGTAGTCTGCATGCCTGGCAGCTCTTCCTGCGGTTTCTGTCAATAGTGCACTGGTTGGTTGCCGGACAAACATAGTCATTGTGACCTAGAGGCAGAAAAATGAAGTAGAGCTTGTTTTTGATCATTGCTTTACCCTTGGATTCTTGCTTAAACAGTAAAGTACTTTTTTAAGATCAGCTTTCAGAGATGCTTTCCTTTTTTAACTTTATACTGTTCTGTCAGAAGCAACAAAGAGTGCAGTGCAGCGCATCAACGGCCTTGGATCTGGTTAAGCGCTGAGAGCAGGTACATGCTGTTCCAGCGCTCCAAATGAAATTTTAAATTAGATGATTGTGTCTCAGCCTGAAATGTCACAGACCTACACAAAAACACATACACACTGACATCCAACCCACTGTATAAAACCATGAACATAATCATAATGCCATATTCTACAACAGAGAATCCAAAACATATGAAAATTTGGATGTGAACAAGATAATGGTTGTAAACACATTTTGGGTTAATAAGCTATTTTGGGTGGCCAGCACAAATGACCTGGAAACTGTAGAGAGCAAATCACCACCGAGCCCTTTAGAAAGACTCGGGTTACTCCCTGAAACTATTGCTCAACAAAATCACTTTAACAATCGCAAATGCCTAAAACAGTATCCACCAAATGGCAGCTCACTCAGGGAAAATGTATATCAGGATTCAGCAATAAAAACATTCTGATGGGCAAGTTATTTTAATATGTTTTTATGTAGTTTGTATTATATTAATTATATGTGCAGTTTATACCATGTATATTTTAGATATATTTTACAGTGAAAGTGATTTTACATTAATTTAGCACTGGCTCCACAGGATTCTTTAAAGTAATTTTTTTATTTTAAAAATGTATTAAAGACTGTGAATATAGGGATCTGAATTGTAACTATTGTTTTATTGCTGGAATCGTATTATATTAAAACATCTGTATATAAGCAACTTAAATTATACATAAGCTACTTTTTTTTTATCCTTTATGAAACCCAAATCCAAAATGTATTTATTCGCTCTTCTCTCTGCCTTCCTATCCTGATGGTCTGTCTCTCCTAAACATCTTTGCTGTCTATAATTCCCCTCATACAGTGTCTTAAAACTCATTTGTCTGGTACACCCAGTAATTTTCCTCCAGTTTTCTACTCCGTTTTCCTCACCAGAATGGCAGTTAAAGTCATCAGCAGTTACCTGCCCCAGGAAAGAGCTCATCAGGAGCTTGCATGTCAAGGTCAAGCTCAAAACATCTACCCGGCCTCTCATTTCACCAAACCCACCCAGATCTGCACCCCCTTCCAACGCAATACAGAACTGCAAATAAGGTGCGAGCAGAAACATCTGTGTGCTTCCATTGTACATATCAGGCAGCCTCTCATCAGATCTAGCACATGGGAGACTTTGATTTTCACCTTTTTCTATCAGCTTTAAAAGGAAGGGCAGTAGGGAGCATGTAAGGATGATTATCTGTGGCATGCATTCACACATCTGAAATTGTATTTGGAAGCGTAAGGCCTTGACTTGAAAATGACTATTAGAAAATCAAGGAAAATCGAATTAGGCCTATTTTTCTTTTTGCCAGCAGTGAATTTCGAGGGGGGTCGGCGTTTCACTTCCAACTGGTTAGGTTTATTTGGAAATTAATGTGATTTCTATATTTTATCCATTCAAAAGACTATAAAAGCGATCCCAGTTCAGCATATAAATGTAGCGCTGTGTTTTGCAGTCTTTTGCCATAATACTTGCAGACTGCAGCCAATAGAAATGCTTCTCTATCATTGCGCGTGCTGCTCCTCACAGCACAGATCGTGAAAGCAGACTAAATTTTTGTCATTCATTGTAACAAACAAAGTGTAGAGACATGTAAATAATAGATTCAGTGTGCAGTGTAGAGAGCGTCATTCATTAAAATGGAAGTTTGTGAGATCGCGATGAACTAAGGAGGGTAACAGCTTTTAATGATTATAAAGAGAGTTTGCAAATGTGAAATTGAATTTATACAACAGTTTTATACATTTGTGATTTTATACAAAAGTTAATAGGCGTTAATTAAGTGACTTACATTTTAGGAACACTGTTATCTATTTTGCTCAACAAAAATATAGTTCAAAAACAGTCACAGCTGAGCCACTGCTAGGGACGGGCGTATCGATCCGAAGTATCGATATATCGATACTGATGCGAGTATCGAAAGTATTGATACTCAAACAATAAATATCGATACTACGGTGTGTTTTATTTACTAGTGATTTTGTTTATTTAACAAAAAAATAATGCATTGAATTGGATGAAAAACCTATGTTAGTAAATAAATAGTTTGCATTTTATGCGTGCAACAGCCTGTCGCTGGCAGTCCCTTATGAAAATTAACTAATTAAATTAAATTAAATAATTTTACTAAAGCGACTGTAGTTCAACTATAGTATTTGTAGATTTGAATCATGTGTAAACAAAAAATATATTTGAACCATGTGTAAACAAAAATATAACCTAATAAGTTACAATTAATGCATATTGAATGTTAAAATGCGATTTAAACAAAGTTAAGTAGTTATCATTACCCATTTTACTCTTAGTAATTTAATAAATTTCATAATTTAAAAGTTTAGTTCAAAAGTATCGTATCGATATCGACGATACTGCCTTGAAAAATATCGGTATCGTATCGAAAACAAAATAAGTGGTATCGCCCATCCCTAGCCACTGCGAATCTACATATAGTCTTTGCCACAGCGCTGTATCGTTTATGAATGAATCTTTGTTTTTGAGCAAATCTAGTGAGTCAATGATTCAATGATCCATTTATAAAGACAGTCACTTGCTTTGTTCCTAAATGAATCAGCCATTTGAACGAATCGATTGAATGAATGATTCAGTGACAAAGACAGTGACTTGCTGCCACCTACTGGCGGTTTCAGTTTCATTTTTAAAGTATAAATTGAGTCATTTAATCATTTAAATTTCTATATTCAAAACTTTATATTTAAAACATTAATCTCATAACATTGTTATTATGAGATGCATTAATGCCACCTCTGAGTCTTGTCAAAAATTCTGTAAATATTCCTTAATGACACATTTGTGCTCTTCTGCGCCATGCAAAGATGAATTGTTGATTCTGATTTAATTTGACTGGTAACTTATTCTTCCTGATTGTATCTTATTATTTTAATTACATTTATTGTTTAATTAAAATTTTTAATAATAATTTATAAATCTAAAATTTTGGCACAAAAGATGACACATTTAATAAAGTTAGAAAAATGGCATTACAAAAGTAAAAACAAAAAAAACAAAAAAACTTTAAGTAGTCAAATGTCAATGGGAATGTTAATTTCTGTCATTGATCAGAAGGTGTCTGTTCCAAATTATTTTTTTTAAGTAAGAAAAGAAATGTAAGTGTAGAGCCCTTAAGAATGTAATATTAAAAACTAACTGCAAACGTTTTTGCAAAGTGTAAACTAAATCTACAAATCATGCAATATTGTACCAGTAAATAAGAAGTGTTTTAAGGCCTTAGCTAAACTGGCCAATTAGAGACACTAATCATTCTCATTTTTTTATTAAATCATTCTTTAATTTCACTAATCAGTCTTTTTTATTTTATTAAACACAAAGAGTCAATAAAGATGCTTACATTATAACCTGAAATTCACACACAACGTATCTTTAATTTGACCATAATTGCAGGTGCTTGTCTTAATATAGCCTACAAGAAGGTTTAGAGAAAATATTAAATAAGTTGTTAATAAATGTTATAGATTATAAAGTGTTTTATAATTAAATACATCTGAAAGGTCTTCTAAAATTACCATTATTACCTCGAATAGTTCCTCGAATTTGACTGACTGAGTGGTGATTTAAAAGCACTGAGGGGCTGTTTGCTTAACACAGAACGCGTTTTCCATTATTTTTCTACGTAAACATGCATGCGCTAGGCTAGACGTGTTTGCCCGTTGCACTCGAGTTTCTTTATTTTTCGTCTGTATTTTTATTTATTTATTTTGTGCATGATACGGCGTTCTAACAACGTGGCACTCAAGCTAAGCAATTCCCCACTCAAAAAAGTTTCTGTCTATGCATTCTTGGTAGATATTTTAGGGGACTCTTTCTTACATCGATACGCCAGTAGGTGGCGACAGTGGATTTCTTTTTAAGTGGTATTTAATAATATACTGAACCGATTCATTCGCAAACACTAAAACAAAACTTGTAGCAGAATCATTCATAGTCACGCTGATATTCAGAAAAGCAAGACTGGCTACCTTGAATGCTTCTCTTGAAGAAAGCTTTGCATCCCTCACAGGACCACACTCCATAATGATAGCCAGACGCATAGTCACTGCACACCGCACAGAAGCGTGTCTCCTTCTCGGAATCAAACCCTCCTGCGGCTCTTGATCCGGCGTACAACTCCTGTCTGTCAGTGGCACTGCACAGCTCCTCACACAAACCAACACCTGCCTGCTGAGAACACACAACACTGGGCCTACAGACAGAAAAGGGGAAAATGTCAAGATAGAGTGGATGATGATAGAAACCAGGATAACTCACCACAGCAGAGAAACTGGCTGATGGGTTGTCATTCACGCTTCCTGCAGCATAGCTATTTAAATTCTGGCCTATGTCTTCTTCTATCTTATTGTAGATATTAAAATCGATTCTATTTTATCTAAATACGTTAAAAATTAAACAATAAAATCTAAAATCAGTTAGGTTAAAAGTTGCAAGTGAATTTAGGCCACACAACATGATTTATTACATTTATTAGTGGTATTTAAGATGAACTTCAAATGAGCATATAAATGTTCAAATAAATGGCAGATATGGGAAATAATAATTAAAAAATAATCCCTAATATCGTCCGATAACCGATATGGTACCATAAAACTGTGCATTCCTATAAATAACTAAATATAAATTATAGACCATGTATATAAAATATCTTTAGATACAAATTTGTGATATCCATGGAGAATATGTACGTGACTGCAAAACGGGACAAGTGTGACCATCCCCATTTCCTTCTGACCTCTTGTTCTAGTGTTTGTAAATATTTTATCTTTAATTCTGATGTCCAACAGATTTATTGCATAACCTCAAAAATGAACTGCAGTGCTGTCCAATGTCATCAGATGACAACTGGGGTCCCCAAGCAGTCTAAAGCAGTGGATGAATTAATATTCTCATCCGTCAGAAGTAAACAACTAATTTAAACATTAGGCTTTACTAATAATAGTTTAATAGTTTTTAAATAATAGTTTTTTTTTAATCCATTAACTGTACTAGATCTCCTTTCAGTTCTTCTGAAAGTAAAAAAAAAAAAAAAAAAGTACTCCCTGTGTGTTCAGACAGTACCACTGTTGTTTTCACTAATTGTACTTTCCTCAAGGTCTAGAGACAGAATTTGATCAGAAGCTCTGCAAATGTTAAAAATCCTAACCTTCTTCTTTCCAAGAAGTCAAGAAATTCTAATAATTAACAGCACAAACCTAGAACATAAAATAACAACAAATAAAACAAACCATAATTAGTCAGAGAGCACTCAACATGTCCTGCAGGGGGAAAAAAATGTGTAAACCACTGTAATATGAAGTAATACTCGTTCTTCAATTCAAAAAGAAAACAAATGCCATCATGACCATCTAGCATTAAATGTTGGTCATACACAACCCACAAATCTATAGCCATAACCCATTAGGCACATTAAAAAGATGTTTACTCAAGAAAAACAATATTAAAATATTGTAAAACTAAAAAAAAAACTAAAAAGTTTAGTTTAAATGTTCAAGTGTTGGCTAATAATGGTACTCAATTTATTACATCAATTAGTCATGGTTTGTTTCCAAATTAAACATGTTCACAAAATGTATAAGTGTACAATGTGCCAGAATTGTTTCACCAGGCTTTGTCTATGTAAGGTGTTGTTAGTAAAAATGAACCTTGGTAAGCAGGTATCCAAGCAAGATTTGAGTGCTAAACCAAATATTATGCCTTGATGAATCAGAAATCTGGTGTAAATGACCTCCAGAACCACCTCATCTGATTAACTGGACACCTGGCAATATTTTCATGTCTGTTTTATAATCTTAAACATCTTACATAGTTTTCCCCCTAATATATATATCCAATATATCTCTTAAAGTTGTGTATAATAAATTCATGAACTTGTAAATTGTTCATTCAAAACTTTTGTTTGAATTCTTCACCTACAAAAGTGTCCAAAACATGACCACAACCAAAGCTGGTATTTAAAGCTGAACTGACCTGTAGACGGTGCAAGGAGGGCTGTCCAGGTAGTAAGACACCTGGTGGGTCGAGTGTTGTCCCCCATGATGGTTCAGGTATAGGGACAACTGAGGGCCGGAGGGTGCAAACATAAGAGGGCTGCCGGATCCGGTGCCTAAGGTCTGCAGATGTTCTTCAGCAGGGGGCGCGTGGGGGTCCGGGGGAGCCGGGTAGTATCCAACCGAGGCAGGCTCGGCGGGTGACGAGGTGCCGTAGGTCTGTGTGGGGTTTGGGAACTCGTAGACTCCATCAAGATAGTTGACAGAGGAACTGATCCCCCCCGTGCTGTGCTCCTCCTTAGGGTACATGGGTGAGAGTTTGTGGGCAGTGGGTGGTGAGGAAAGTCCCTCCAGGTCTTCTCTCTCCGGGCTCGGGCTGGTCCTGCGTCGCTGCCTGGCACCAGCAGCCTCTCGGCTGGTCTGCCCTCCAGACATCACCATGGAAACACACACGCAGCCAGCATGACTTAAGGTACTATCTGTTCATAAGCAACCACCAAAAGACTGTTTTTGTCTTTTTTAAGCTAAGTCTTTTTTTTTACCTCCCACTGTCTTTCTCAAACTCTCTCCTCCTTGTTCTGTTTGCTTCCGCCCCGCTGTTCTGCCTACTCCTTCCTAAAAAATAAAAAATACCTTCCTCTTTCCTCCAGTCCGCCTTGAGCTGAAAGGACAAAGTGTGATGTTTTTCTAAGATACATATGTGAGGCTGCTTCTCCTTCTCTTTCTTTCTTAAAATACCCTTTTTTATATTTTCCATCTCTTTCTTTTTTTCAGTATCTAAAACTACTATTCTAACAAAAATTCCTTGTTGTAGCCTTAAATATTACACTTAAGGAAGGATAAAATACGAGCAACTGTACAAGATGTCAAGTCTGATGTGAGGTGCTTTTCTATTAAACAGGAAAGAGAGGACAGGAAACTCAACTGAAACTACTAATAATAGAAAGAAATGCTTGATTAGGCTATAAACCACTAGAGCAATAGACATGGAAAATTGTTTCTTGTGGAAACTAAAAAGACTATAATCAGTTATTAAGTAGTCCTTACCAAAATTCAAACCAGTCCTCTGATTAATAAGTTTAGCCCCATCACAAGTAGCCTGGGTGCATCCCCTCGCTGATGTATCTCTGACTTCCTGTGTCCTTCTTGCTTTCACTGTCTGTGGTTCTGACAAAAAAAGAGGAGGTAAACAAATTAAAGACAGCCAGGTCGATACTGGCGGTCACTCTTCAGAGCAGGTCATGGCAACCAGGTAAACAAGAGATAGGAGGTAGAAAACCTTTGGATTTTACAGGTGATGTGTTTTAAAACCACTTTACATGCTGTCCCCATCGGAAATTATACTTCAGAGAATTGATTACACTTGTTGAAAGATTTTTGCAAAAGGTTAAATAAGGGAATGAAATATTGTTCAGCTCACAAGGGACAAACAATTCTGTTTGATCCTAATAATTTCTCTGTACTGGCAGCTATTTAAAGCTGAAATGGAAAGTGTGTAGGTGTCGGTGCTCTTTATTAAATGCTGCGTTGGAAGCTTGAGTAATTGAGTTTTGATTTCCTTTTTAAAAAGGAACATTATTAGCATTTTTTACTGACTTAGTAATTCTGTCTAACTGCATGTGTGCTAAAATATACACTAATACATAAATTCTTTTAACTCAGAAAGGATGCATAAATTGTTCCGTAATGTTACAAAGATTTCTATTTCAAAAAAAGTTTCTTCATTTAAACTTCAACCATAAGTTTAAACATAAAGAACCCTGGGGAAAAGTAGCAATGTTTCTACCAAATTATGAAGCAGCACAACTGTTTTCAACATCACCAAATCAGCATATTAGAATGATTTCTGAAGGGCCATGTGACACTGAGACTGGAGTAATGATGCTGAAAATTCAGATTTGCCATCACAGGAAATTACAGTTTAAAGGTTTTAAAATAAAATAAAAAATATTTTAAATTGTAAAAATATCTGACAATATTACACTCTTACTGTAGCCTGTTTTTGATCAAATAAATCCAGCCTTTGTGGGAAGAGAGAATTCTTTAAAAAACATTTAAAAAATCTTACTGAATCTTACAAATTTAGGACAATCCCAAGTAGTGGATATATATTTTTTTATAATAATTTGTTGTTCTAATTAAAATATATGCAGCACTGTCTTCAAACAAAATGGCTGCTAATGCATTAAATTAAAACATGCTGATTATTAGCTATCTACTTTTACAAAAATAGAGCTGATAATTAAAGAAACTGTATTGATAACATTTTATGTGATGCAGTGTGTATGATGTATGCTAAATGAACGCGTCTCAATCTGCTGCCCGCAGGTTTCTGATAAAAACGCACTAAATAAAAAACAAGGCCAGCTGAAATCGTTAAGTCTACTTTTGAGCTTAGCTCTTGCTGTAAGAGAACTAGAACAGTTCAAAGACCAAACCCATGGCCTTGATTTTCAGGAAAACCAGCATGTACACAGTCCTCCACTGACCCCTAAACACAAAAAGATAGCGTTCACGTGATTATTACGTAACATCAATTCTTTGTGAGTTTTTTCTTTTTTGACTCATTTCTTTGCTCTGTAGAATGGAGGCAAGGCTCCTTGGATTCCCAGGAAGCATCCACACACACACACACACACACACACACACACACAAATTGCGCTCTCAAAGGATAGGTCAACAAGCAGCATGAGCCCACACCAGGAACACTTCTGCCAGCGTATGAGAGAGTAAAATGGGTAATGATAAGTATTTTGTTTAAAACGCATTTTAACATTCAATACGCCTTAATTGCAGCTTATTAGGTTATATTTTTGTTTACACATAGTTCAAATACGTTTTTTGTTTACACATGATTCAAATCTACAAATGCTACAGTTGAACTATGGTCACTTTAGTAAAACCATGGTTCATTTTCATTAGGGACTGCCAGTGACAGGCTGTTGCATGCATGAAATGCAACATTTTTATTCTGACAGTGTATGATTTCTATTAACATTACAGAATAGAACATGATCAATATTATCTTTCAACGTTCAATTTAAATAACTGTAATTACACAAACTATTAAGGCAACAATTTCAGTTTGTTTATTGTGAAATAACTCAAACACATATGTTTTTTTTTCTCTTTCCTCTGATAAGCTTTGTTCAGGGCTGCCGTTCCCAAAAGCTTTAATGCTTTCTTATGATACTTTTGGGAAACGCAGCCCTGTTTGAATGCACTGTCAGAAGTGAGTGAACGCTCTCTGTGATGGATTGGTTCTGTCTTGCAACATTTGCGTGTTCGTGATGAGCAGGAAAATAGTTATATCCTATACAATTACTTGCTAACAAAGGTTATTCGTCCAATTCAATGCATATTGTACGCATTCTTTTTTCAATTTTTTTTGTTGAATTAACAAAATCACTGGTAAATAAAACACACCTTAGTATCGATATTTTTTGTTTGATACTTTGGATCGATACGCCCATCCCTACCAGGAAGCATCCACACACACACACACACACACACACACACACACACACACACACACACACACAAATTGCGCTCAAAAAGGAGAGGT